CTTCACATCAGGTATTATTTACCTTAGAGCTGCACATCTATCAGAGCACAAATATTTCATCTCCCATGAAATACATCAGCAGATAGCTCATCCATTTCAATAGCTGACAGCCTGGCCACTGCCTTTCATATAGTGATAGAGCTGAGAGATGGAATGCTTTTGTTCCCATCTGCTTTGTTCTGGCATTGAGCTCTTATGCCCAAAATTAGCGTGAGGATACAGAAAATATCACACTCCCTTACTGTAGGTGTGGGTACACAGCACCACACAGAAAAATTACTGTGAAGACTGACTTGGATAAATACATAACCACTTTTATATTCAGACACTCATAAAAGTATACAGTAAGTTTAATGTGTGTCTTTATGTATTCCTATAACCTCACAGTTCCACAAATGAAATCACAAACGAACAAAAAACCTGTACTTACGGGTCATCCACATCACTCTCTGTCTCGCTATCAGGCCTCTCCCTCTCTGCATCTCCTTTATCCTTCTCTGGAAGTGGTTCATCAGAAGAGGGGGGAGGCCGAGATGGGGGACATCTTTCTACAGCGGGAGGTGCCTCTGCAGGCTCCAGTGTCTGCGCTGCCACCCTCTGACATTCTTAGGAAAAACAACAAAAAGTTGCATACTTGTTCAGGGAAAGGTAAACTATATGTGGTGCTCAAAACAGAATGAAAGTCCCCAAAAAAGTTATATCAAAGCTCTAATACATAAACCTTTAATTCAGCCATAAAGGTATTCTGTACCTGTCTTCAGACTGGCTGCTTGAGGGTGGCTGACTGGGTGCTGGGCCTCTCCCGGCTGAGAAGAGGCATCTGATTGGGTGGGTGCAAGGAAAGGGACCAATGAATGCCAAGGGAAGACGGGAACTGACCGGGGCTCTACATTGGTCCACACTGCAGAGGAAAATGATGGTGTTAATTGCCAACAGCCAACACCATCAGATGTCTGTAACTGCAGAACATCCTCCCATGCTCAAATATCACATTAAAAACAACCAGACCTTCTTACATTGAGGTTAACAAGATGCAATTTCCTTATTTGGTAATCCATTCCTACTCCAATCACCAAATATATTTTCTAAAATTAGTTTGCAATGTAATCATCCATCAGGTTTTTTTAATCATTTGAATTGATGGAATAATTAAATGTAATAAAATCAGGCACAGAGTGCAATGTTTATGTTATGGGATATGCTGAGCACTGCTGGCTTTCATTTTGGCCATCAAACCAGGGGGTAGTTAACATATCAGACAATAAGTGAATAAGGTTATTTACCTGTCAGAAAAGAACAATATCAGTACTTTAAAACCTACAGAGAATATCAGTACAGTCATAGTTGCACACCTCCTGCCACTTGTGTGGTTAAATAACTCCATCAACAGCAGATGTACCATAGGACTCTCTGTTCTCAATAACAGATTGGACAGAGAACAGAAGCTGGTCCACTTTCAACCTTCATAAATCAATAAAGGACTATATAAGTCATACTAACTTGGTTCCTGTTATTGAAAAAATATATTAAGGAAAAACTTTCAAATAAAATATCTCCTTTAACCCTTCAAAAGCAGGTTCCATCTGCTGTTAATTCACCACATTCAACACAGGACTGCATTGTGCTACAGCTGAACAATAATGACATACTGCTTTATGTACACAGATATGGGGAAAAACAACAACAAAAAAACAATAATTTTATTTGAAACAGTAAGGTAAGTGACATGAACTGACCAAACATGCTTAATCCTTGGCGGAGATACTGAGGATTCTCTGACGAGAACATGGTTGAATGAAATCCTTAATGTTTCGCCAAAAAAATAACTGTGATATGTCCTTTTAAAACATCTCTTCTACAATGAACAAAATTCCGGGTAAGGAAACATCTTTAATCCAAAACCTCGAGCTGTTATTGCCGGGAAGCTCAGAGATGACGAGAAGTGCTCAGTGGTGACTGTATCCGTTTCATCCCTACAGGTTGCAGTCATCATTCACAGTAACTACTGCATCATACCCTACACTCATAAGGATTTTAAGATGTAGCACTGAGAGGTAATCGTTTTATTCTGATGCGTGTAAAAATGGAATACGCATGTCAAGTTGAGTCTCTCTCTCTCAGAATGCCGCAACCTTATACGCACACGTAACAAACATTAGTGGACAAAATGTACAATAAACGATTATAATAAAAAAAAAAGTCTGATTTGTAAGAAAGCAACAGTGTATAAAATATCCACTTAAAAGATGATTATGATCGAAGGCATGCTCCTCCTCCCTTTGGTCTAATTACCCCCGATGCCCTCTCTCCCTGTTTGTTTACATTACTACTGCAGCTCGGCGATGAAGGGGTTAACAGGGCCTTAAACCCATCCACGGCCTGGATTAAAACATCCACCCGGAAACTACGCAGTCTTTCTAGGCCATGTCAAACCTTGATTTGCGCTACAATACAGCTTCAGGTTGGTGATCAGGTATTAAGGAGCACAGAGCCCCCGAGTCGAATAGCTAAAGGGCTGCTGTAAGGCGCACCGTATCGATCAGGATTAACAGCATTGCAACACGAAAATTGGGGAGATCAAAGCTAAGGTGATTCGTCTAACTTTGAAAGGCGGAGTAAGAATCCGCTTTTACCCACGTTTGCACAGTTTACTCAAACAAAAACACATTAATGTTCACCAATTCATATACTAAAGGACAGAGAGGCTGATTTAGCTGCTTCTTGCAACAACCGGAGCCTCAAGTGCACAGCTCCAAATTGAACCAACCTCTCGGGAACGCCCCTGGTCGTGCACCCGCCGCGCAGACACAGGCAAAAGAAACGCAATTGTTCTCATGGCTCAACTACACACGCGTATTCGCACGAAGTAACTGCCAAAATAATCCAGTGAAGACTGTCTGACAAGTGCATTTCGCCAAATACTAACTTATTTTTCTCATTACTTTCCCATCAGATTTATACTATGCACCTGTCTTAACCTAACATTTACTTAACACCTGCCAACATACAAAATCACCTACAAAAGGATAGCGACCAACTTGTGTTTATCCCTGTTTACTACGCATAAGCAGATGCCGCTGACTGTAAATCTGGTGCATTCATCCATCACACAGTGCTTACAAGCCTGCTATCCATCAGTTTGATCATCAGGAGCTATCACGACAGTGTCGTCACTACTAGTACTTAGTGCTCATCTGATATCTGTACAATTTTCCAACTCCTATCCTACCAGACCAATTTGGCCATAAACATGACGTTAGCTAGCAACTGATGAGACTACAACACAGCAATAAAAGCGACCATGGTGAGCACTCATGGCTTCAGTCAGCGCGGAGAAAACAGGGATGAATCGCAGTTGTGTTTCCGTCTCCTCCTCGGTCAAGCACTTAAGGTAGCAAACGAGTGGCTGGAAATACAAGACCAGAGCCCGACTACAGGGATTTAAAAAGAAGCGGTACAGTATATTTGGATGTAGCCGTTGGTGGGGTCCGTCCGTCTCCAGCGGGTTAGCTAGCCACTTCGTGCGGACGACATCGGCGCGCACACCGTGCAGTCCGTTTTATACTTGGTGTTACGTGTGTTGTTTGACTCCAGAAAAGTCCTCGTATCGCACCTCCACAGCTCCCAGCCCGAGTTTACTCCTTTCTTTATTTAATTTTTTGTCGTTCCTCTCTCGCTCTCGCAAACCTTGGCCCTTTCTTTCTCTTTCC